CTTTTAAACTTCTAATTGCATTGATTTTCGTTTGCTTTTTTGGTAAATTGGCTAAGGGCTTGTCTATCTCATTTTTTTTGGAGAAAACAATTCTTCAATTCATTTAATATTTATATTATTGGTTTGATCTCAATTTCACTGGTTTCTGCTTTGATCTTTATACTTTCCTCCCTGTACTAGCTTTGAATTAGGGTTATTCTTGTTTTTCTAAGCCCCTGAGGTGCATTGTTAGGTTAGGTATAAATAACCAAATAAATATAAATAAATAAATATTGGGCTTTCTCTGTTTTTGCAATGCAACTATAAACTTCTGTTTTACAACAGCTTTTGTTCTCTCCCATAACTTCTGATATGTTGTACTGGCATAATTGTGTAGTTCTGGAAATTATCTTATTTCTTTCTTGAATTCTTCTGTAACTTCTTGTTTATTTAAGAGTTTTGGTACACCACCCCCCCGGCCAAAATGTATTGTTTAGTCTCCCTGCATTTGTGTAATGCCTGTTTTTTTGTTACTAAAGTTTAGTCTCATTGTATTATGATCCAGTAATATGCGTGGCATCATTTCAATTCTTTTATATTTACTTAAGATTGTTTTACTGGTATGTGGGAGTTTTTTGGAAGAAAGTTCCAAGTGTTGTTGAGAAAAATGTGTATGCTGATCAGTGGAACACTGTGAATGCATATTATGTCCATTTGTTCAAAAGTTTTTGCTCAACTCTGATCTCTCTCTCTCTCTCTCTCTCTCTCTCTCTCTCTCTCTCTCTCTTTTTCTCTCTCTCTCTCTCCCCCCCCATACCAGAAATTGAACTGAGGACCTTGCTATTGTCAGGCAGGGGCTGTGCCTCTGAGCTATAACCCTAGCACTTCTGACATTTATTAATTTCCTGTCTACTTGATCTGTCCTCTTGTGCTAGTGGGATATTAATGTTCCTCACTATATTTGTGATCCTATTTATCTGTGTCTTTTGTGTTCCATAGAATTATTTTTAATGAAATTGAGTGAACCAGTATTTAGTGCACATAAGTTAGTAACTGTCACTGCTCCCTGTTGGGTTGTTCCCTTAGCCAACACATCGTCACCATCTTTGCCTCTTTTGATTACTTTTGGCTTGAAGTCTACTTTGTGTATAGGATAGCTACATTTGCTTTTATTAGGTTCTCTTTTGTCTTAGTTACCTTTTTATTGCTGGGGTAAAATACCTAACACCCACAAGTTAAAGGTAGAAAGTTTATTTTAGCTCATAGTTTGTAGAGAATTCAGTCCGTAGTATGCTGGCTCCATGCCAAGGCAGGGTAGCAAGGCATAGGAGAAACAGTTCCTGGCATGCTGACAGGAGGCAGCGAACATTGAGCCTTCCTTTCACTTTTTATTTCATTCAACCTACAAGCCTATTGGTTGGTGCCACCAACACCTAAGTGTAGAGATAGAAGCCAAAAGCCTGCTGCCCTGAGGGAGCAAAGAACAAAGAACAGAGCCTAAGGAAGAATGTTGTCCCTTGTAATTCTGGCAAGCTGGAATACAAGGTCACAGATAACAGCATACTCTGGGAGGTCCCCTGTCTGTTCTTTGACCCTTCACTTGGGAAGGTACCAAATAGTGTTATGTGAATTTAAGAGTTTGGAGAATACCGGAAGGCAGTAGAATGACAAAGCCTGTGAGTCCCCTGTAGCTATTTTAATCCAGTCTTCTCGTTTCTTTCAGCTCTGACTGAAACAACACAACACTGAAACAACACCTGATTCTGGCCACCCCAAGTCCCCCCCCCAACCCCCAACACTATCAGGGAGACCGGGCAGCCATAGCCCTCCCCCAACCCCCTTGCTTTCCCCACCAGAGTTTGCTGATTCAGAAGACTGCAAGAGAGACATCCTTCTCCTGACTGAAGAAGAGGTCTTCCCATTATCCACACCCAGAACTGTGCTAAACCTATTAGTGGACTAATTAGTGGACATGTCCAGGATCCAGTGTCACCCATGATCCAGCCACTCCCAAAAGCCCATGTAGAAGTGTGAATGAGGCTTGGGGGACATTTTATCTATAAACAAAAACATTATTGAATGGAATACTGTTTTGCAACCTTTGATTTTTAGTCTGAGTTTCTTTTGGGGTTCAACGTGTTTCTTACATATAGAATGCCATTGGAGTTTGGTTTTTTTTTCCTTTCTTTTTAAAGACAAGGTCTCACCATGTAGTTTAGGCTATACTTGAACTCACTATGTACTCCAGGCTGGCCTCAAACTCACATCAATGCCTTGTCTCAACCTTGTGTGTGCTGGGATTATAGGTGTGCACCACCATTCCTGGCTGGAGTTTGTCTCTGGATCCACTCTGCCAATATGTGCTTTTAACTGAGGAATTTGGACCTTTTGTATGGAGAGCTATTGTGGACAGTTACTGACTTACTTTTGTCATTTCCTGCTTCCTTGTCCTTCCCTTCTACTTAACTGTCGCCCTGCCTGGTATATTTATTCTATTAGACCTTTCATTACTGTTTGCTTTATTGTCCCTTTCTGGGATATCTTTCACAGCTCTTTAAAGTGCTGGTTTGATGGTCATGAATTTATTTAGGTGCTCTTTGTCGTGAAAGTAT